AGGTGAAAAATTTTGGAAGGACTGGCTGAAAAGTGGTCATTATTCAGCATTATTATTTCATTATTTGCTTGAGTTTAGAGAGATGTAATGAGTAACCATTGTAACTATGTTCTTAAGTGCTTAAGTGAGAGGAATTATGGTAGAGTAGGAAAAATAATATGGTAAAAGTAATTAATTTGGGTTGTGGCATCTGGACTACAAAAGGCAAGGTTTTGGAGGGCTCTTAGAAATAGAAGTTTTGATAATAGAAGCTTAAAAAAATTACTAGTTCTGTTTGGAGCATTGAGTCATATCTTTAAAACTTCATAATTAACTTGCCCAAACAGTAGAAAATATTCGTTTTCTACAGGGAATGGTCTAGAACTTTTTCATGCTCCAGGGTCCCGCTTGATCCATGTAAATGCCTGTTGTGGCATACTGTTCACTGTCCATGTATTGCATGACACAGCTGCGAATAGCATCAGAATACAATTCCTCTGTGTTTTGGAATAATTTTGTCAGGTTTTGGGACCAAACAATAGAGCTCTCAAAAGACAGGTGCAAAAGTAGAGGGTCAGCTCCTGTGAAAATGTTCACAGCTTCAGGCATTTGTTTTTAAATGGGTAACTTCTTTAAGTGTAAAACTTTACAGATTCAGAAGATTGAACTAACACAGTTTTATCTTTTTCCAGTTTTCTTTTGCTCCTCGCGTTAATTGCCGCAGGTTCTTAGTCTCTTTGTGCAGTTCTTCTTACTACCATTTTCCAAAAAACTGTCCACTGTTTTGTCTTCTCCTTCATTGCCATGTTTCCACTACCCTGGGCAAGACTCCCACCACCTGCTTTTGCTCCTTAGAGCTGAATGAGAATTTGAGTGTCTGGGTGCATGACAGTAACTCTGCACCCATGCTCAGGAGGCTGCCAAGCCATTGAAGGAGCCGAAACATGCCCACACTTTGAACCCAAGAGTTTCTTAGACACTTGAGCTCAAGTGCTCACACAGAGGCAGAAGTGTCTGAGTCAAAATGGTTGAGTATTTGACTTCAACTCTGTTGCAATCCAGTCTTGAAATGGAGATAGATATATAGATACATATAAGCACTGGGGCTAGTTTCTTCCAATTAACAAACTTGTTTTGTCCACCTCCTCACTCATTGCTTTCTGGGTTGCCCTGACGAGATCCAGCTTCTCTCTGTTGATTGTACTGAGAATTTCAGATATGAGTGCTCAAGCTCTTCAGCCAAAGCTGGTGTGTGATACCTGACACTACCGTCCCGTCCTCTAGCAGTTCTGCTCCTACTGGTCATTTCTCCATCCTTTGAACTCCTTGATCTTCTGGTTTTTACAAACACAGTGGTCAGTCTTCATGTCTGGCATGTTACCAAACAAAAGATTAAGACTTAGTATAGTATTGGCTATGAAGAACATTTTTTTCCTAGCACCTGTCCATCCACAGATAGTGTAGGTGTTTAACAGAAAAGTAATATTATTATTCTTTCCTTCCCTAAAAATCAGGTTTCTGTAAAATGTTGTTGATTAATCTTAATGAAAAATCGTATCTTTCACAGTTTTCTTTACAATGGTTTTTTTAGGGTGCAGATGAGTGAATGTCTTCAGAGTAATGCTGCTTTGCATGTTTTTTTCCTTCTTATGCTATACGTGTATATTTAATTGAAAATAATGAAAGGTCTTCTTAGGTTGAGCTTGTAAGAGTGATTTGCCTTCAGTGGTGTAAATAGCTTGAGAGGAATGTGGTTAGTCCTGTCTCTTTCACATAGCTCTATAGGGGCTGGGTAAGCAGAACTCATTGAGGAGGGAGGCTGGAAGCACCACCTGAGAACTCCAGCCGAGTGACCTGCAGTCACGTCGTTCCATCAGCTGACTTTCGTTTCTTACCTGAAATGATACTGTTTTAATGGATGAATAAACTATTTCTGGTATTTCTCTTTCACCAACCATCCCTTCCTGCATTGGGTTCTCCATTTGTCGTCTACCAGGGGAAAGAAGATGTGGGGTTTTTTGTACCGAATAGTCTATTGCAGGGGAAGGATCTCATAAATATCTTTAGTATCTTTAATATCTTCATCAATGATCTGGACGAGGGGATCGAGTGCACCCTCAGTCAGTTTGCAGGTGACACCAAGTTGGGCAGAAGTGTTGATCTGCTTGAGGGTAGGAAGGCTCTACAGAGGGATCGGGACAGGCTGGATCGATGGACCGAGACCAATTGTATGAGGTTCAACAAGGCGAAGTGCCGGGTCCTGCACTGGGGTCACAGCAACCCCATGCAACGCTACAGGCTTGGGGACGAGTGACTGGTGAACTGCCCAGCGGAAAAGGGCATGGGGATGTTGGTCGACAGCCAGCTAAACATGAGCCAGCAGTGTGCCCAGGTAGCCAAGAAGACCAATGGCATCCTGGCCTATATCAGAAATAGTGTGGCCAGCAGGACTAGGGCAGTGATCGTCCCCCTGCACTTGGCACTGGTGAGGCCACACCTTGAATACTGTGTTCAGTTTTGGGCCCCTCACTGCAAGAAGGACATTGAGGTGCTGGAGCATGTCCAGAGAAGGGCAGCAAAGCTGGTGAAGGGCCTGGAGCACAAGTCTGATGGGGAGCGGCTGAGGGAGCTGGAGTTGTTTAGTCTGGCGAAAAAGAGGCTGAGGGAGGTTGTAGCGAGGTGGAGGTCGGTCTCGTCTCCCAAGTAACAAGTGACAGGACAAAAGGAAATGGCCTCAGGTTGTGCCACGGGAGGTTTAGATTGGGTATTAGGACAAATTTCTTCACCGAAAGGATATCCAGCATTGGAAGAGGCTGCCCAGGGAAGTGGTGGAGTCACCACCCCTGTGTAGATGTGCTGCTTAGGGACATGGTTTAGTGGTGGACTTGGCAGTGCTAGATTAATGGTTGGACTCGATGATCTTAAAGGTCTTTTCCAACCGAAACGATTCTATGATTCTGTGTGGTAGGAGAGACTTAGAATTTCAGATGCTTTTAAATAAGAATCCAAAGCTTAAGAAGTATCCCCAGCTCTGGAAGTCTCTGTGACCAAAGAAACCAACTGGGGCAATATCCAGAGTCTAAACAGAAAGTTTAAAAGTACCTTGAGCATGGATGGGCAAGCACCCCACTTGGAAACTATTGATGCAGTGTGATGAGACTGTTAGGATAGACCTGCGAAGTTGGATGGGGATACTGCTATATTTGTACTGCTCTCCACACCAACTGTTTGTTGCAAGGACATGTATGTAAAACAGTTCGGTGGCAAATCTGAGCACATTTTGTAGAACTGTGTCGTTGGGAAGCGCGTGCAACTCACCGTCTGCCATGTTGCTTGTGCCCATCCAGCTCGCAGCAGCTGCCAGATTCCAGGTGCCCAACACTGCAGCCACCCAGGGGCAGTGAACGCTATTTGATGCTTCGTGCTAGGCTGAGGACTATAAAATTATCTAGGCTAAGTTGCTGCTGGTGCAGCTATGGGCTGTGGTCACCTCAGAGCCTGGATTGCTGTGTTCTCCTCACAGCAACTGTTTCCCACCCCCCATCTGACATCAAAACTGCAACACAACCCAGATGGTGCACAGAAGGTACCAACCCAAGGAGCACAAATGTTGCTGACATCCCTGCTGGCATGCTTGTACAGCATCCGATTTCTTTACAGAGGCACCCATGACCATTTCAGCTGGACTTTTCAGGTCTGTTTGAACTTTGTGATGATATTCTTACTCGGAATTTTCTTTTGAAACCAAGGGCTCTCAGCAAAGCATTTATTGACTTTTGAAGAGACACATGGAGGGAGGTGCAGCCTACGACAAAGCAGGTGTTGCATCACTGGTTCATGTAATTGAAATAGTTTCTTCCAAGCTGCTCATGATTCATAAGAGATAATAAATAACTGAGGAATGATTGTGCCTGATGAAGGAAACAGTTGTTGCAGAGATGCTCTCTTGTTGTCCTGGTCGTGATTAGCTGGTTTCAGAAGGGGAGGTAAAAAAATAATTTTTGACACACCAAGGGAAAATATATACAGACCTCACACAGTTTCCCTTCCTCGGTTTTGGTGCATGCTCTACTGTGGGATCAAGGTAACTGCCAAGAGCATTTAACATGTAGACACTGAGGGCTGGTGATAGAAATCATAAATAAGTATAGCCTACAAACATGGCAAAAATGGGGTTTTCTAACAGTTTGCTTTATGAAAGCACAAAATCCAGTTTTGCTGTATTAATCTTCTCCTCTGACACAGAACGTGGGGCAAGCATCATGCTTACCTTTAAATAAAAAGCAGAGGGTGGGATATTCAAAAAATCTACACTTAGCCCAAGTCTCATCTCATTGAAGTAAATGAGTATTTATCACCAGTGTTGTGCAAGTCCCATGGCTGAGTACATTTAAAAATTGTACACCGTTCCTGGTAACAACTTACATGCAAAATTAATTTTACTGAAAGTAAGTGCAATAAATAAAGAGGACATTTTGCAGATTGAATTTTTAAGTTTAATTAGGAAATCGTATTTCATTTTTACCAGCTTGCTAAGAAATGTCCTGCAGTGTTGTTTACACAAATAATTAGAAACCTTCCTAAACTTCATAAAAATAATTGGAAGTCTGTGGCAGCCTGTAATAAATTGCTGAAATATTGGGTAATCTGGCCATTTTGGGGGAAAGTGTAGCCTGACAAGATGAGGGTAGCAAACTCATATGGTAATCCTGAGAATAATTACACAGCCCTTTGTCCTGATGTTAATCCCAGCATCACCCCTGCAAGGTAGGATCTATATTGTTGCCTTAATCCTGTTGATTTTCTTAGTCATGTGAATGCCACAGGAATGAGAAATCTCAAGGCCCTTTCCTTATATTCAGCAGATTTGGTACTCGTAATTGTGTAATTTGGCCTAAAGCAACCCCTAGGCAGTGGGTGTTCATGGGAAGCGTGCAGAGGGGGTTGCGGGGATTAGGAGCAACAAGGGGAAAGTCACCACCTGTTTTTCCACCCCTCCTCTCTTTCTTTTGTCTCTCCAGGAGAAAAACCCTACAAATGTACCTGGGAAGGCTGCACCTGGAAGTTTGCTCGCTCTGACGAACTGACGAGGCATTACCGCAAGCACACGGGAGTGAAACCATTCAAGTGTGCAGACTGTGACCGCAGCTTTTCCCGCTCAGATCACTTGGCGCTCCACCGCCGCAGGCACATGCTGGTTTGAGAAACGCTACCTGTTCCAGCCGAGTTTAAGAGCTGGGTCTCTTAACTACCCGGAGTGAATTCAGCAGGGCTGAATCCCCCTCTACAGTGTTAACAGGCAGGGCTTTCCCTGATGTCCGTAACAAAAAATAATAACAGAAATTTAAAAAAAAAAAAGCAGGAAAAGAAGTGCCACTCTTCTCCTCGCCATCTGAAGTTAACCCCGTCTGCCCCTCAGCATGGCTACCCCTGAAAGTGTCATTACAATCACCTGGGAAACAGCAGCCGAAATGCTACAGGAATGGGCATTATTTTACATGCTGCGTCCTTTGACAGAAAATGTTTATAGCTTGTATGTTTTCTCAGCTGTCGGACATTTTCTTCCTGAAAAATCACTGCTGATTGGAGGATTAAATACCACAAACCGATGATGACGATGATGATGATGAGAGCAAGACCGCTAGACCTCTATTATCCCGTCTTTTCTCCTTCTTTTGAATACCATCTGGCCAGTGTCAGCATTACACCCGAGCTGTGCTACAGACAAGCTGTGCGTGAGTAGGCAAGAAGATTCTGTTGGAGAGGTCCCGCTGTCAGAGCTGCTGAAGGGTCGCTTGAGCAGACTTTTGCAATAACGATGGTGGCATTTTAATATTGTACCACAATTTGTCATTATGCCCTAGAGGACACCAGCCATTTAACCTTTTTCTTTTATCTTTTTTTTTTTTCCTTTCTTTTCTTTTGTTGTTGTTGTTGAAGTCTGTAAAATAAACAAGGGGCAGCAGCATCTCTGCTGAAAGTACGATATTAAGTATCTGTATTTTACCATGGACTTACTTAGAATGTTTTCTGATTTGTGTAGAAAGAGCCCGTCTAAAAACTCCTACCGCGTTCTCAATGAGCAGTTTTCTTTCATGCAGGTATCCTCTTCCCCACGACCGTCATTTGAACACAAGGAAATAGTCAGATCTTGTACTCGCTGGTACCAAGGTTAGTGGTGTAACCATTCATGAAATGGAATTGAATGTACCAACAAAACAAAACAGAGAAGAAACGGCTGCATCTCATGCAGAGAAAAAGCAATAATGAGTAAAATGGCTCTCAAGACAATACTTTACTCCACACCAACAGAAGGGGAGGATATGCAGAAATAGTATATAAGATCATTTAAGTTAATCTTTCTGATGGTTTCACTGACCTGCTAGGTACCACAATTAAGTACTTTCATTTCCTTCAACATAATACTTGTGTCTGGAAAGCAAGAAGGATAAAGGAGAGAGCTGATTGTTGAGGAGTCAGTGGATGAACCGTTAAGTAGGAAGGAGAAGCATTTCTGCAGTGGTGCTCTGCAAGACATTAGGTTTCTCCCTGGGAGTTAGGGAATAGCAAGATTTTGCCATCTGTCTAGTATGATATAAATGGCCCTTTATATGGGTTCCAGTGGCTGCCTCTGCTGGGATTTTCAATCCAAGCCTTTTCAGATTAAATAAGAGGAAATTCTTGATCATTGCCATACAGCCCTATAATTGTGAACCAATTTGTATTAATTGAATTATGTAGGAAAGAGAGAAACTCTTAGTCATCAGTTGTTCATGCAAATGGAATAGTGTTTTTCTGTTTTGTTTCCTCACAAGGATCTGCCTATTCAGCTAAATTTGACAAAGAAGGCGCTTGGCAAGATTTTATAAGTGTTGAGATTTTTATAGCTTAGAGATGAAACATGTATACATAAAGGTCTTTTGCAATGCATTTAATTATGAATATTTGGTTCCAGGAATTCCACAGATTAAACTTGTGATGCCACTTGTTCATTTTTTAATGTTTGACCAGTCTGAATTAATTTCTGATTCCTGAAGTAACCATAGTAATGATGGGGGGGATTCTGAAATTGAGGTAACCTTTAAGAAAAAACAGCACAGAGTACCCATACAGATACTGAAAGCAATTACAGTTAATTGAGTATTAATATGACTGGGATAATACTTCATAACAGCCTTCACAGGCCCCAGAGTTTGATTGTCTTTAAATACGTTCTTAATATTCCCCAGTACCAGATAGTTTATCAGCTCTCAGAAAGAAGAACTTCAATACTGCTAAAGCTCAGGCTCCCCTCTGCCAAGTGATCAGCAGAGAAACCCAAGACAAATTAATTCACAGCCATTGTGGGAAAAATGCCTGTATCAATTCCCATTGACCGCATTGGTAATCAACTTCCAGCAAATTCAGCAATGTTTTAGTATCCGACTCCAAATCAGGAATGAAGCAGAGGCACTAAGTGTCCTGTGCAAAGCATGAAAAGGCTGCAACAGATCAGGGCTTGTGGATAGGCCCTGCGGCATTCCGGGGCAGCAGGAGTGAGTCTTTATCAGCAGTGTTACTGCTGTTGGTTTAAAAAACTGGTTGTCAATGTTGTGTGTGAGATGGTTCATGGATCATGTCGGAGGTCTGTTTTTTATGTACTTCAATATCATCCCCTTAAATGGATCTGTCATTCTCAGTGTTTAGGGAAAGTTGTAGAAACCAACTGATAAAATCATTTTCCTGCCCAAGAACATTACTTGAATAGCAATAATTCAGTTGAAGAACTGATGGCATACAGAATTCCTTTCAGAATCTGTGATTATTTTCTCCCATAGAAAATTAAGTTTATTTGACCAGAAACTCTTAAGGCCATTAGCGTATAAGAGGAACAGTGAGAGAGATCGTCTCTGGTGTTATTCACAAAGGCAGGGTATAACTGGGAGAGACCAGTGTCCTCTTCAGGCTTGCCCTGTAGTCAATGGAGAGAGAAAAACTCCAAGAGAAATTGAGAGGCCTTAAATTTCAGCATTCAGCTCTGAACTGCCCCGAGGAGGAGCATATGTATCACAGACTCTGGGGAGGCTCATCTCCCAAGGCCAAGGTTGGGCTGTGTGAATCCGTTGTCTTTCAGCTAGTTGCCTGTTACTTTATGCATAGGAAACACTGCAACAGAAAGAGGATCTGGTTTTATTCAAGGAACCCCAAAATGACCGAGGGTTAAAGCAGCACTCACTCCAAGGGACACAAGCACAGAGCATGTCAATGGTAACAGAATGACACCAGAAGGTAAAGGAGTGTACACTGAATTGTCCTATTTCACAGGTGAGAAGCGCATCCTCAACCTTTCCAGCACACATGTAAGGGCTTTTCCTGCTGCTGTTACCTCTAGACCACTTACACAACCAGCAGTAGTCCACCACTGGGTTTCAAGTACCCAGTGTGGCTCTTGGCAAGTTTCTTATTCATACCAGCACCCACAGGCTTTGACCCCAAATACTCTGTGAGGTTTTCTGTTTTGTTTTCCCCTTCAGAAGTATTTTAAGAGGAGTGACTCTGTCGGAGCGAGTGTTTGGATGTGGAGCTGATGTCCCCCACATTCTCAGGGTGTCCTTCCCTCAGTGGCTGCAGTTGAGACCCCCTAAACTTCAGTGCTTGTGCAAAGACCAAGGGCGATTGCTCCAGGGTAGCTTCCTCAGAAATCCTGGTATCCCACCACAGGTCCGTGACATTTCAAAACTGTGGTGAAGGCTTATATCATATGTAGCATGCAGAAATACCAGATCTCATCTTGACAGAACACGGTAGGTCCATCTTAATTGAGCAGTTGGGAGAGACAAATACACAGTGTCCCATTCTTTCAGAAAGACAGAGATTTATGCTTTTAAGTGTGAGTCAAGGATGGGTAATAATCCACCGTGCTCATTACAGCTTACAAGGGAAACTATGCTGCCAAGGGTCAGGTTTCATATGTTTTCAAAAGGAGTCAATGGATTTGTCAGGAAGTCTCGGTAGCCAGCATTATAGGAAAACATAATGAGCAAGCAGCTTTGATACAGAATTTTTTAAATTTTTAATTGTCATTATTTTTTGAGCACCTGTTTTATTCAGCACTGTAAAATTGGCTCATTGCAACAGCAGTTTATACTTGGGATGAAGATGCAGTATTCCTTATTCTCTATCATGCTTACACAATTAATTAAATAGTTTTAACCTGACTTGTATATATGATTATTTACTGGAGTAATGCATAACAAAATTAACAGTGTTGAAAATTACATCAGTGATGTTGATGTTTGGGGTAACCTTGCAGTGCAGAGCATGGACAAATAGCTGGACAACTTTTCTCCCCTTTAATAATAGGAATAATGGTGATCATAAGTCTCGTTTTCCATTAGCCACATTGAAAATGTATTCTAGTTGCCATTTATAAATTTATCTTCTGATAATAAATGCTGTTTAATTGAAAAAAATCTCTCTCTCCTTTATTGAGGGTGGGTACCTCAAAATTGGAGTAAGTTTAACTATTAATATCCTGCTCATTTTTTAGTTTGAACTTTGGTTTGGAAAAGTCAGTATGTGAAACTGCATCTTCCACAGCAGACAAGTCTTAAGATCATTCAGTAAATTTGCCCTGCTCCCACATGCGCATCCATACTCTTGTGCATATAAAGCCCAGCACTTCCACGTGCCTCCACCCATGTGCAGGTAATAAACATGTTTATTCTAAAAAAAAAATCAGAAAAGGAAAAATTGGAAATAAATACTGTAAAAGAAAATACTGCCTTCTTAAGAAACCAGCTTATGTTACTGTATTATGCCTTTGCCTGTGATTTGTAACTGGAGAAGTGCACAAAGAATTGAAAGATTGTTATATTTTCACAGTTCCGCTATAGCGTAACAGTTGCTGTGTAATGTATGCTTATGAAGTCATACCCATTGGTACCTTGAAAAGGCTTAAATTCTGATCAATTTCCACAGTAAATCAGGTTTTAATACAAAAATGTAACTATAAGGATACTGCATCTTTAGAAATCAAAATACCTTGAAAGTATTTTACTATACTTGTAACAGTTTAAATATTCTGTAATATATGTGATAGTTTAAAAGTATTTTCAAACTCACAATTTTACGTGGAGTGTAAATAGGTTAAATGAAGTACATTTTTAAAAATCCTTTAGTTTGCATCAGGAGAACTGGTAAGATAATGCCTTGCAAAACTTA